CACCACCTGGGCACAGGGCAACTTCAGCTCCTGGGGGCACCCCAAAAACCTTGAACACCCCAAAATACCTGAACATCTACCAAAAAAGCCCAAACCTCCCCCAAAACCCCCCCAAACACTCCCCAAAGCAGCACACGGCTGGACTCCACCACTCTAGCATGGGGAAGCTTCGTCTCCTGTGGGGGTCAGGGGCACCCCAAAAACCCAAAGGCCCCCCCAAAACACCTGAACATCTACCAAAAAAGCCCAAACCTCCCCCAAAAAACCCCCAAACACTCCCCAAACCAGCACACGGCCGGACTCCACCACTCTAGCATGGGGAAGCTTCGTCTCCTGTGGGGGTCAGGGGCACCCCAAAAACCCAAACGCCCCCCCAAAACACCTAAACACCCCCCTAAAGAAAACGCAGACAACCCACCAAACCACCTAAACACCCCCCAAAACACCCCCCAAACCAACCCACTTTGTCCTAACAGTCGGATTTTGGGGGGACAAAGAGTGTTCTGAGAACGCTCCGAGTGTTCTATGACAGACGAGGGGACCGACCACCTCCGGGGTGCCCCCCCAGGTTTTGGGGACTCCCCTGGATTTTGGGCCCCCCCCTCACCTCGAAGAGCAGGGTGAGCAGCAGGATGCGTGTGGCCAGGTTGGAGGCCTGGGGCAACGTGGCCATTTGGCTGATCCACTCCGAGACCGTCTTGGTGTCGCTGGTGGTGAGCGGCACGGCCGCCTTGATGAGAACGTCGGCCGCCTCCCACACCTGGGGGGGCAGGGGGTTAGGGGGGCTTCAGGGGGGCGGGGGAGTCCAGGGGGGTTCCACCCTTGCTGCACCACCTGCTTTAGCACTGAGACCCTCTAAGCCAGACCGCTGTGGCGCGTGGCCGTCACGAGCAGGTCGGGGGGCTCAGGGGACGCTCAGGGTGGGTTAGGGGATGTCAGGGGGTCTCAGGGGATATCAGGGGGTCTCAGGGGATGTCAGGGGGTCTCAGGGGATGTCAGGGGATCTCAGAGGATATCAGGGGGTCTCAGGGGATGTCAGGGGGTCTCAGAGGATATCAGGGGGTCTCAGGGGAAGTCAGGGGGTCTCAGGGGATGTCAGGGGGTCTCAGGGGATGTCAGGGGATCTCAGAGGATATCAGGGGATCTCAGGGAATGTCAGGGGGTCTTCAGGGAATGTCAGGGGGTCTCAGAGGATGTCAGGGGGTCTCAGGGGATGTCAGGGGGTCTCAGGGGATGTCAGGGGGTCTCAGAAGGGTCCCGTACCTGCTGCACCACCTGCTTGAGCACGCTGTCCCTGTAGGCGGGCCCGTTCCTGCGCACGGCCGTCATGAGCAGGTCGCACACGCGGTACACGGTGTCGGGCAGCTCGTCCAGCAGGCGGGAGCAGCCCGGCAGCATCGAGTCGGTGAAGGCCCCGAGCTCCGCCGGCTCCAGCGGCTCGGCCCCCTCGAACTTCTCCAGGCACTTGGCCTCCTCCTCCTCCTGCCGCTCCCGCGCCCGCCGCTCCTCCTCCTCCTTGCGGCACGCGGCCTCCTGGGGAGGGACGGGGTGAGAAACGGGGGTGGGGGAGAAAGGGGGGTCTGGGGGGGGAAATGAGGGGTTTGGGGGGAAAAGTGGGGGTTTGGAGGGAAGAAATAGCCCCCCCCTAGTCCCCCATCCCCACGCCCACCTCGGGGGACTCTGCCCGCTGGTCCATGGGGATGTCCTGGCCCAGGGACATGGCGATGGCCCTCATCATCTGATCCTCCTCGGACATGCTCAGGTCCTGGGGGGCACAGGGGTGTGAGGGGCTGCGGGGGGGCTCAGGGACCACCCCTGCCCCAAAACTCACCCTCGCCGCGCCCCCCATGAGCGGGGGCGGGTGGGTGAGCAGGTACTCGGTGGCCTGTTCCATGGTGTTGGTGTTCAGCAGGGCCTCCATGGCGTGTTCCCGGGAGAAACCCATGTCCATCAGCTGGGGGGGCACATGAGGGGGTTACAGAGGGTAGGGGGGCTCAGAGAGGGACAGAAAGAGCTTTTTAGGGATAAAAAAGGGGTCTCAGGAATAAAAAAAGGATTGAGAGTATCAAAAAAGGGAGTTGGGGGATAACATTGGGGTTTAGGGGTTAAAAAAAGAATTGTCGAGAATCCAAAGAAGGTTTGAGAGACTCAAAAATTAGTTTGGAGGGCAAAGAAGAAGATTGGGGGGGGCAGAAAGAAGTTTGAGGACAGAAAGAAAGCATTTGGGGAATTAAAGAAAAAGGTTTGGGAGGACCCAGGGGACGTTTGAGGGAACCAGGAAAGATCAAAGTTTGGCAAGTTTGGGGGTCACAAGACCGAGGTTTTGAGGGTGCCCAAGGCTGAGCGTTGGGGGTGCAAGACTGAGGTTTTGGGGGACACAGGGCCAAGGTTTGGGGGTCACAAAGCCGAGGTTTGGGGGGGTCACAGAGCCGAGGTTTGGGGGGTCACAAAATCAAGGTTTGGGGGTTTACAAAGTCGAAGTTTGGGGGTCACAAAGCCGAGGTTTTGGAGTCATAAAGCCGAGGTTTGGGGGGTCACAAAGCCGAGGTTGGGGGGTCACAAAGCCGAGGTTTGGGGGTCACAAAGCCGAGGTTTG